ATTGTATAGTTTACTTGACACACACACACACACACACACTTACTTAAAGCTGGGGTACCAAACTATCTTTTCTCTCAGAAAATACATGTTGTTTGCTTGTAAAGCTTGTAAAAGTTATTTGTTGTCCATTAATCAGAACACAACATGCTTTCTTCCTTCTTACAAAACAAGTAATTTTTTTGTGACGCTATGGGCTGAGAGCTGATTGGCTGAGACAGGTGGTCCTCTGTTTCTCATTGTTCTTCCTAAAAAAGCTGATTAAAAAATTTATTTTTGTGAAAACTATTTATAGACAAACTGTTTTGGAGGAACTATGTTGATGGATTTCATTACATCGTTCCAATGTATTGGTTTGAAAGTTAGGTACCCCAGCTTTAATGTAGCAAAATATAGGTTAAAATACAAGAGATTTTACTATATATTATCCTTTTCTTTTAATTTTGGAATATTGTGTGCATGAACAAGTTATATTTGCAATAATTAACTTTATCTCCTTTTTAGCAGAGACTACAAGGCTTTGAAGAGACCAGAGCACCAAAACCATGTCACTGATGAACAAACATGCAAATTCAACATTTAGCCAACACATATTTCATAACCATTTGTTTTATTTTGAAACAAGAATGAGAAGAAGAAATCATCTCCGTGTCATGAATTACAGTTTATGAAATGCATGCATGTGTCTTGAAGAGAAGGGAAACAAATCATGAAAATTCATTGCATGATGCTGGAAGCTAAATCTAAATTTTTAAATAGCTAAAAAAAAAAAAAAAAAATCCCATCTTTGTTTGTAAAATCTGGTAAATACCGAATTCTATACATTATATAGCGCCATCTCCACATGTATAGCTTCAGGCACTATTAGGTCAAAAAACTGAACAGATAGTATCAATTTCAACAGATTGTAGTGTTGTCATGGCGACTCAATGTGAATCAACAAAAGAGGTGACTGATAGCACTGACATGACTAATATCTCTTTTTCTCCCCCTTCTCCTCTCTCCTCCTTATGTGTAATTTCACCGAAAGATGTTGCAATGCCGCTTTTGTTGTGACCACCTTTTCATCCCATACATCAAATCAATGTGCGCATGGTGCCGGCTGTAAATCCCATTTCACTATGAAAGAGCGCTCTCAGATACCAGCCAGATAAAGCCCAATCAAAAATATGTCTGGATCATATATAATGCAGGCTATTATTTTGTGTCTAAGTGTAATGGGGCCACGCAAAAGCTCAAAGAAAGCACAATCGAGGTTACAGAGAAAGTGCATGTTGCGTGTAGCTTAGCCTGAGCATGCTAATGTGATTGGTTACAACAAGCAGGGCATACAGATGGGTAGATGTGGGATGTGATTCTTGAAGAGCATAATTTTTTGGCTCTCTCGTCGCCATAGCAACCAGAATACAATGCCACCGACAATCCAATTTTTTGTCGTATTTTTTTTATCCCTCTTTGTCCATGCAACAATATACAGCCATTGTTCGTGTCTATATAGTTCTCACTGTTTTTGCACTTTTCGCCCTCCCGCCTACTTTTCATTTTTGCCACACTCGCGGGCTTATTTAGGCAAGGAAGAACTAAAGGAGAAAAGAAAAAAAGAGAAGAGATATATAGACAGTGGGCCAACTCACTGTCTATATATTTTTTTCTCTTTTTTTGCCATCTGAGAGAAATAGGAGACACAAGCGGAGGAGGGAGGACATAGGGGAGAGTGTGTGAGAGCGGCGCAAAGATGTTCCGATGAAGGAGAGAGTGAGAGAGAGAAGGAGAGGTGGTGATGGGTGGGGTGCGCAGTGAAAATGAGAGGGCTCTTCTTGTCTTGTCTCCGCAGCGCTCGGTAACTCGCTCCATCCTTTCAAACGGACACTTTTTTTTGCACCTAAAAACCTTGAGAGTCACTTTCTCCTCGCTGCCCTTCTCGTCGTTCCACCTGAGTATATAACGCTGATAAAACCTTCAGTTCGGCTAAAAGCATGTCAAGTCCATCTCACCGGCTTCTTGTTTTTGTTTGTCGCCCATATCATATCATCACCCCATGTTTAGGGCAATTCTTTTGTTTTGACAAATGGCTTTTGCCGGATGGATTTCCAAATCTATAATTCTATCACAGCTTCAACATCAAATTTACTAAAGTTTCAGAATCTTTTATGTCAAGTATCAGACTGATAACACAAGATAAGAGATTCTATTTGTGCAGTGGAGAGATTCGGGTGTTGCAGTCCACATACTATAATAATAATGAGCACACAAAACACACAAGATGCAATATATATTGTTTAGCTTTGGCTATAAAATCTGCAATAGTCTATAAAATATAAGTTATTTCTGAAAAACACAAGTAAGTCCACTATGTAGCCTAAAAAGCAGCAGCATAGAGTCTAGAGTTCACTCTTTGAATTATGGGAAGAATGAATAGGAATAATAGGATGAATACAATTAATAGTTAATTCTCCATTTGATTCAAGATTTCCAACAAAATTAGAGTAATTTTACCATGTTCTACTATCAATTTATCTGCACATACATACAAATGAAACTGGGAACATTAGAATATCGCTCAAAAGTCCATTTTCTCCTGTAATTCAATTAATGTATGACAGATTCAGTGCACACAAACTGAGATATAATAATAATAATGCACCGGTTTTATATAGCGCTTTTCTGGACACTCAAAGACGTTGTGGCTGGTGTTCCCAGAGGTTAAGTGTCTTGCCAAGGACACAACGGCAGCCGACAGTGGGAGTCGATGGTGAAGGTCGGGCTCAAACCCACGACCCTCTGGCTCAAAGGCCAATGCTCTACCAACTGAGCTACTGTCGCCCTGTATATCAAGTATATATCAAGTCTATCTACCCATTTGTTATAACGTAGATACCAACCCTAAATAAAACTAAACATGATGTTATTGGTTTCATGTTTTAAGTTGAATTACAGAAATAAATACACTTTTGAACGATATTCTAATTTTCCAAGTCTAGATGTTTTGTCTGAATTCTGTATGTCCCATTAGTCTATGCCCTGAGCATCTGTCTGATTGTCAGGCTCTGGTCCACAATTCTAAAAACCCTTCTGTTTTACTGGGACTTGTACACAATTCTAACCGGGAAAAAGGACCAGAGCAAATAAATAGTAGCTCAGAGATACAGCGTGTGTAATAAAGAGCACGGCCGCTGTGTGTAATTAGCGGGTGCATTTTGCCTATCACCATCGGGCCACATTAGCCTCCTCTTTGGTAAGACGTGTCAGACCACCTCTCCTTTTACCCTCTCTAATGGCTTCCTACGTGTCTATATTAGGAAGCGCATACCAGAGGGCACCACCAAAATGAACGGTAACAGTTGGCGGTAAATTACTACACAGCTATCATTGTTTTAGTTAATTACTTAAAAATAGTCAATACAAATAAAATCATGCCGTGCCGCTTTGAAAAATTATTGTTGATTTTAACAGAAAATGTGACTGTGTGAAAAAAAAATAAAAAATACAGTATTCGTTTTTGATTATTACAATTTGTTTGTGTCGTGTGGGTTTCATTAGAGGTTGTGTATTAAATACCTGTGAACGTTGCCTTGTTATTCATTTGCGTAAAAAACAGGCAAAAACACCACCATTGCAGCAATAAGAAGGACTAGAAAACAATAATAGTCAAAACAGTCAGTTGATAGGCCTGTCAGCAGTCTTAATGGACAATAATTTTGCAACAGTTAGAAGTATATTTGGAAGTAAATGCCGCTAAAACTACAACTACAATACTGCAGGATAATGAGCTGCAACAGATATAAGTCATGAGAAAAATTAGTAATGAGAAAAAAAGTACCCATCAAAATGACTTGAGAAATCCTAGACAGGTTCAATTCAATGTCTGTATCACAACAGCAGTCAATCTCGAAAGGGCTCCACAGAATTGTTTTCTCGCCAACAGCAGATAAGAAAATTCATCATTTAAAACACATCGGAAGACGTAAAAGTCATGGGCTCATAGGATGAAGTCCAGAAGTGACCTGGTTAGGGCTGGGTATGTTTCAGAGCCTGTCGGTCTAACACACATTGCAATAGGTAATGCGATACGATTCTGATGTAGATACAGGAGACTTTCAATTTGATACGATATTTTTACAAACCATACAATACGATTCAGTAAATGCATTTATATTTTATGTATTGAAAAATATGTTTTATTAAAGTCAAAATATCAAAACAAAAGATATATGTACGCTTATTGTTTTAAATCTGAAAAAATCATTATGTAAAAATAAAAATAAAATCAGTAAAACATCTACTGGTATATTGAAACGGTTATAGAATATATTCATTTATTATATGACTTGGACCGTACGCGCGCTCTGATTGGCTGATTACCGGTCTGATATTTTCCCATCTCGGACCGTTACCATGACAATTGGTCCGAACAGCACGTATCACATTTGATATCTTTCCTCGGACCGTTACCATGACAATCTGTCCGCAGCGCGTATCACACAAAACCAAGTCGGACATGAACATACTTCACAAATATCTCAAAAGCATTGATAAAGACACAGACGAGAGTCATATAGTAAACATTTATTAACCTTGCTTGCTCGGTCTGTACAGAGAAATATCAGACCTTGGCCTTTTTGTACATTTAGGCCGCGGTCTGATATTTCTCCATACAGACCTCGCGCTCGGTAAATAAGCCGTTAGTATTTATCATCCATTGTCCTTACATCCTCCTACATCTACTCAATTCTTCTCACTACTGCAAAAACTGTAAATATTGAGCATAATAAAGCTGTTAGTTACTAAAAAAAATAACTCGATTTTGGAAGAGAATAATGAAATTGGACTGTTTAGCACCTCGGTCGCTCCTCAGTCCTTCACACATGCTGGTATCTGGGAGGGAGCTTGTCCATGAGCTTGTCTGTCTACATCTTAAACATTTCATACGACTTTGACCTTTTTTTGCTGAGGACTCGGTCAATGAGCCAATGAGCATGTGTTAACCATGGCCACTCTTGCAGACATCCGAGACACTGGAGCCAAGCCTGTGATGGTCTACATCCACGGGGGATCCTACATGGAGGGGACAGGCAACATGATCGATGGGAGCGTGCTGGCCAGCTACGGAAATGTCATCGTTATCACTCTCAACTACCGCGTCGGCGTCCTGGGTAAGCACCCTTTTCTCTATAATTCTTCAAGGACGTTTTTCTGGGGCATGTTATTAGGTCACGCTTGTATATGTGCGAAAAAGCATACATTGTCCCAAATGACGCACGCTATAATCGCAGTTGTTCTCTGTGTGGACGTGTTGCTCAAATGTGGAGTAATTGAGAGCCATGGAAGTAGGCTTGTTTTGGTGGTTCCAGTTGGAGGAAAAAATTAAGAAATTATTGTAATGACTTTCAAAATGGGATGGTGTGAGACAAGAGTGTGCTACAGGGAGTGAAGGGTTTTTCTCGTGGACTTGCGGATTGACTGGCGCAGCTGAATCCTCTTTCAAACACTTGTATGAAGGAGAGAGGGAGGGAGAGGAGGGCAAGGGAGCTCCATGGAAACAGCTGCAGCAACACAAAATGGAGTTTGTTAGCACACTACCACGGCTTTGTACCTATTCCATCCATCTCTCTGACACAGTTGATTTCCCCCGCTCTCACAATTTTTTACATTTAGAGTGCTGGGCCAACAAACACTCACTGGATATAAAATGAAATCTGCATGTTGTCATTTGCATTTGTTGAAAACGTTGCTTCAGATTTGGCCTAAATGGATGGCAGGTGCAGGCGTGCAGAGGATGCTGGAGTGTTTTCCTTGCACGGAGCCAGGCTGATATGAAAACTAGTTGTAATAGTGTCTATTTCAAAGTTAATTCGACAAACAGGCCACTAGCGCAGATGGTGGGGTAGCTCGTGTGATGCATGCAAGAGAAAGAGCAGATGTTTTCTTTGTTTTTAAAGTCCAGTTTTGTATCAGGTTTTTTTTTCAGCATCAAGAGAATATCATCTGGTGCTCATATTCATATATATATATATATATATATATATACAGTATAGATACATTGTAATGCTGTCACACCTCGATGCCTTTAAACTACACATTCATTCAAACATAAGATGTGCTTTGTTTGAGTAAATCAATACATAACAATGATAATAATAATAATGTAATGTATTTGTTACAATACTTGCCTTATACAATCCATACATTACTGTATGATTTTCATTTGTCAACAACAACAACACAAAACCCATCAAAAAGCAAAGAACAATTTTAAAATGTATTAGGAATATGGGATGACAATTAGTTGCATGGCTATAATCTGGTATATTTACATTGTGTATATATGTGTTCATAAAGGGCAGGTGTCCCTCATGAAATCAATAGATGAATTAAAAATGTACAGAATTTAAATTCCTGACCAATAATTGATGACAATGTAATTTTTGGTTTTAGCACAACATACAGTACAAATGGAAAGTTATGCACCAACTTTGATATGAATAATAATATGTAATCAGAATGTGCAACATACAAGATTTATCACCTTGTCTTTTGACCATAGACTGTATATATTAACGGACAGAGTCACGCCTATCTCCGCCGTTCATAGGAGTTGGCCATGAAAAGTGCTTTCATGGAGCAATCCAAGATGGCGTCATCCGGCGCAACTCCATTCATTTGAACGAGAGACTTCAAAAATTCAGCGCGAGTAAACTAGAGTGGACCAAAAAAATCCACCCCCCTCAGCATTGACTCACATGTGGAACGGAGCTTTGGGCCAAGAGCCAACTTTTGGACCATCCTGTAAAGACGTTTTTGAGAGGTCTGCCCAAGCTATATGTTAGCATTGGCTAATTCTTCTTCTGGGTCCACCCCCATCGGCCCGGGGTGGTATTGCAAGCATGTCAGCGCACGTCATTTTGGCCACTTTTGAGCTGGGACCCGCCCCCACTGCTTTTGACACACAGACAGGAGCTGTTTATATTCATACGTACTGAATTCCATTCCACTATAAGTGAAACATCAAGAGTATCCTAATCATAGAAATATCCAAATTATGTGTAAAACGTCTAATATTGTTCAGACTGAAAATAACAACATAAAGTGTGTTACAAAAAGCTTTTTCAACATGAAACAACAAGATATCAATGAAACAGTATTACACAGGGTTTGCTTTTTGCTGCAACCCTCAAAATATCATCAAAATGAAAAAACAGAAATTTCCCCACTGTTCGACAAATAACAGATCTCTTTCTATTAAAATTGTCAAAACAGACTCAAATCAAGAGACATTTACTCAATGAAGTGACTTTTTTATTGTATGCAGTCCATTTTTGTTTGGAAATAACTTTCGCCTGTGGACTCTGCATGTCCTCCCTGTGTCCGCGTAGGTTTCCTCCGGGTGCACCGGTTTCTTCTACCACTAAAAACATGTACAACACTTCAGGGTGAATGAGTGTTTTTGTGAGTGTGACCATGAAACAACAGAAGGAAAACAACCCAAGGCTACAATACAGAGAGGGGTGCACTTTCCAACCAAATAAACGATAAATACATTTGAATCACTGCCAAACTCCCCGTACACATCCCTGCGTCTCTCGTCCTTTTTTGAGCCGTGGCACACCTTTTTTATTATAAACTATCATATGGCACACCACCAGCTGAAACTGTTACAAAAATGAAACTCTGCAGCCTCATCAAAGTGTGTAGATAATATTAAAAAAGCTCAAAGGTCTTTCTCATCTCTCACATTATTTTCACCAATTAGTTGATACTGTAAGTAGATCATTTCCAAAGACACAAACAACATCTTAGGGCACATTAACACTAACTCCCAGAGCAGTCGATTTGACGGCTCTGTGTAATTACTCCGCTTATGTACATTTTTTTGCGTTCATAACTTTGTGACTTTTTCTGTTTCTAAATGTAGTTTATTTCTCTGTCATTATGTTTACGATTTTGTTCTTGATCCTGGACTGGTCCTAGACTGGTTCAGAGCCATCTCAGCTTGGAGCAAGTGCTGGTCACCATAGCAACAAATTGTGCTGTTGGGCTGGGGTGCCTGAGTGAAAATAACTCTTGCTTCTCAAAAAGAAGAACCTGGGTTCGAGTGGCGGTCGGAACGGAGTCTTTCTGAGTCGTGTTTGCATGTTCTCTCCCCCTGCCGGCTTAGGTTTCCTCCAGGTGCTCCGGTTTCCACTACCACTAAAAACATGTACAATAGGTCTGGTGTGCGCCTCCTATACTGGCGACCTCGCTCCAATCTCTTAGTGGAGTGAGAGACAAAATGCCTGAAAATAAAGAATTGACAATTGTAATGCGCTTTGTAACTCTGGTCTGTGAAAGGGGAATATAAATACAGGTTACTTACTTACTTTAGTTGCATCTGTTTAATGTTGCTGTATTTCAGTTATATCCAGTTTTAGCATTTATTCAAGATACAAAAAATAAATAAAAAATCACTTATATTTAATAAAAGTAGTAAAAAATGTATCTGTTTTTTGGGGATTTTTTTCAGAATTTTAAAGAGGATAAAAAAGACTGCTCTGGGAGTTCTAGTAGTTTCAGAAATCTGGGAGTCCTATCATGTTAAGGTACCACAGGTTGAAAAACACTGCAGTATTCGTACAGCATTTGCATTTATGTGTTGTGCTCAAGAGAAACTCAGAAAGTGTTTTATTTATTTTTTCCCCAAAGCTTTTCACAGCGGCATTCCATTTGTCAACCACCGCTTTTTTCCCGAGGACAGTGTAAGCTTGCGTGGACAATACATTCTTTCTTCCCCCATTCGTCGTCTTGGCTCTGCTTTTATTCACGGCATCTTCTCTACATAAATTCCTGACGTATTATTTGTAAGTGTCAGTCGACGGCGAGACATAACATACATTACCACAATCTCAAAACGGAACGCGCTCGATCGCCACGTGCCCAGTTCATATATACGTAGCTACCAGCGCAAACGCCTGCTTCGAATTCATGATCATATTTCTTTCATGGCACTTCAATTACGAGTCAGATGTTACATTTGTTTCTCTATTCGCAATTTTCCCTAAACGTCATTGTACACGCACACACACTTGGACGCTACATTCACACACAAATCATGCATACGGTTGACAAGGCGAGAGAAACAAGAAGAAGTGATGCATAAGTCCGACTACTATAGCGTGGACTGATAAGCTCCCTGTGGTACTTTAAACTGTTATTATACGCACACACACATATACGAACACACTCGCATGCAGAGTAAATATGGCCGAGAGAGAAGGGGAGATAGATTGTATGATGGGCCAATTTGCGCTAAGCCGACGGAAGATTTCCTCTCAATAAAGCCGTATAAATTTGACAAATCATAATTGCATGCTTTCGATTTTATTTGCCTTTGCCTTTTGCGTTCATGATATGGCTATAGCATTGATCCAGACTAAGCTCTGCTAAATGTTTTGAATGAGATTGTGTAAAGTCCAACAGAGTGGGATGTAGGAGTGTTGTGTGTTGCCTTGTGTTTAGAGATACGATCACGATACAATGGGAAAGGCAAGGCAAGTTTATTTGTATAGCACAATTCATACACAAGGCAACTCAAAGTGCTGAACAAAACAAGATAGTCATAAAGAATCACCATACATTAAAAAGAAAGATAAAAATATTTATCCCTCAGTTGTATGCACGGCTAAACAGAACTGTTTTCAACCTGGATTTAAACATTGTCAGAGAAGAGGCCTGTCTCACATCTTCAGGACGATTGTTCCAGATTTTCACTGCATGAATCTGATATGCAGCCTCCCCATGTGAGGCCAGTCCCTGTGCTCCTCAGATGTGATATAGCTCAATACAAAATGATTATTGCAAAATGTTTCTAGGACTTTGGAAAATCGAATAACAAACTTGCAAGATGCTTCTGTTTCCCTAATGTCTTGCTGGTCTGCGGGAGTGTGGGAGAAGGCAAACTCAAATGCATCAGCTTTAATACTACATGCAAAGGCCAAAAGACAAGATGAGATTAGATAAACTTTATTGATCTCACAATGGAGAAATTAACATGTCACATCTGGCATAGATAGAATCACTCAGATTGTGCAAAAAGACAGAAGTGTGCAAACATGTTGAGGTTAAAAATACAGTCTGTGCAGGATGTAATGTAACTATGTATAAAAAAGTGGCAATAGTGGCCTCAGGAACATCTGGAATGAACTGGACACTTCATTTACACAAATATAAATTATTGAGAACATTTTTTCTTAAATTCTCTTGACATGCATTTAGGGTTTACCAACTTGAGAACAAAAAAATAAGGGACACCATTTGGGTGGATCGGGTTGAGCACTTTTTATTCCTAATTTCAATTTACGCAGCAAATATGAAATTTCATAATCACAGTTTTTAGAATGTAATTTATTGACTACAGATAAAAAAACAAAAACAAATCCTTAGTCAAAAATTAAATTTAACAAAAAGGTGGAACACTTTGGCTGGTTAAGGACTTAATGCATTCTTATTAGTAATACAAAATATAGAAAAGACAAATGCTGTAACATACATTATTTATGTATGTTACAGTAAAGACCATTTACTGCAAAAGCAAATAAAAAAGAAAACATATGTATTAAAGAAACTCACAAATGTTGAAATCAAAGTCTGTAGCAGTTAGATATGGTCATTATTTATTTTGTCTGAGAGCTGAGAGCGTGTACATGGCTTCAGTAAAAGCCATTGTTCGTTTACAAAGCTGGTCTTGACATTTGTTGACACTCCCTAAGCACTTTTCTCGGAGCTTGCAGTGCATTGGATTCAATGGATTTCTCTACATTAAAACAGCGCATTTGATTTTAATAATCAACGTAGAGATGATCATTTTAGCACAATTACTTTTATTTAACAAAGTGGCTATTGACCGCGGAAGTCCGAATCTGGGAATGTGTCGCTACTTTACCAAACTTCTGCCGTGACGATGCTGCGGGAGCGGCCCACGCTGGAGCTTGTCAACATTAAACCCATGGACGTGATCAAGCCTACGCCTCCTTTGACTCTGATTGGCCGAAAGGTGTGATTACTGTGTGTGCTGCGCGTGTGACATGCAGTGAATGAGTGGTGCATTTAGGGCGACTCTGAAAATACGGGACAAAAGCCGTTCCGTATCCATTCAATACGGGACGCACATTGATTTTTTTATTATACGGGACAATTCCGTATTTCAAGGGACGGTTGGCAACTGGTCCATCCTAGCCTGGTCGTACCACACCATAGTACAAATTACATTTCATACTAAGGTCTGGAGGTTCTCCATTAAGCTCCGTTTACAGGTGGGACAGGTTAACTCCTTTTGCAGATTGAAACGATTGGATCTGAGTTTACCGTGACGTATGTAGTGCACCCAAGTCTGTGGTTAGCATTTAGCATTTTGCCTAGCCATCTTCTTTTCCTCTAATGGAGCCCATGAGGAGTAGCGCCACAATCTTTGCCAGCAATGATATTTGCTAAACATTCCTCTTGCTCCGGCTTCAATTTCTTGATAGAACCAGACTGGATCACTTTACTATCGCATTTTTCGCCATTGCCAAACTACAACCTGCCCGTTCGGCGCAAACTCTTGACATCACCCACATCTAACTACAAAATCAACCTCCCAGACTCGCTGATTGGTCGGATGGAATTCAACCGATTGTAATCGCAGACACAGGGACTAGACCCAGACGTTACATGCAGTGAAATTATAATTGAGCGGAGTGCATCCTGGTTATAATGACATTGCAACATGTTTAGGGTGGTGTTGAAATAGAAGTACTTTTAAGTATAGGGCTAAAAGTTTTTAAAGGATTATCCCATTTATATTAGTTGCTTATTATTTGAGGGAGACATGAAAAAAGAGATGATAAAGTAATTTGTTTTAGAATATTTTCACAGTTTATTTTTCATTTGAATTTAGAAAAGACAATTAACAAACATAATAATCAATTCAAGATCTTCTTTGTTTTTTGAGTAAAAATGATCCTTGTATTTCCCAACTACTGCTTCAAACACATGGAATAATGAATGAATTAGTGAATAGAATAATACACCTGAATAATTAAGATTTTAGCAATTTTCAAATTGCAACCGCACTGATATTTGCAATTTAAATTCTGATTAATATTGCAATCCTACTTTTATCTTTGCCATACTACAACAAGTGTCTCACCGACTGCAAATAAAAAAGGGTATAACCATTACCATATGAATCGGATCATGTCGTGTGCTTTGACTGTTTTGCAGATAATTCACAAAAGGGATTATTTTCTGTTCTCTTCGACATGTTTTTCTTGAAGACCACCTTGAGCTGCTCACAATATTCACTCTTTTGTTCGACATATGCGGCCTCTCACTGTGTCATAGAAACAAGCGCAAAAAAATTAATAAATAACTGCATATTAATGAAAAAGGAAAGCTCTTTTAATTAGGCTGCTTAAAGGGATGAGGGAATAATGGCAGCCGAGTGAATTAGACAAGATAATGAGTTTAAAGCAAAGGCAAAGACAAGTCCAACAAGACTCCGTGCTGCTAACGCTATTTAGCTCTCCTCTCCGCGCTGCGATCTCAAAATGACATTAATAATGCAGTAAACACCTTTGAAAGACAAACACACTGAATATTTCAACATTTACAACAGCAGGCCACTCTCCAAATCTCCCACAATTGGGAGCAATGTAAAGAATATATGCATTTTATGTATTTTAGGGCTGTAATTAACGATTATTTAGATTTTTTTGTTGGGCGACTATCCTTTTGTTTTCAATTGGATCCCAAAAAGTCAGTGAATATGGGATTTTGTATGCATTTGACCTAAACAAAGGTCTAGTGCACCTGGATTTAACTGGGCGGAGTTACTCTTTATAGAACACCTGACAAAATATGGCTCTAGGAAAGACAAAATCTGTTCCCATGTGTGTGTGTGAGTGTATGAGTGTGTATCAGTGTTTGTAAGTGTGTGTTTGTGAGTGTGAGAGTGCGTGTGCAAGCATGTGTGTGTGTGTGTGTGAGAGAGAGCTCATTATGAATGTATGTATCGAGAGAAAGTGAAGAAAGGGCGAAGAATCTAACTTGTGGTAAATAAAGGTGTAATTTCTGTTTGATGAATGTATCCATCTGTTTTTGTTTTACTGCTTTACAACAACCTGCTTAGGGACAGGTGTACAGTAAATTAGCACTGCTGCTGCAGCCTGGTACAATGGATCTCTCTTTTTGGAAAATGCTTAGTGTACACTGTCCCTGTAAAAATAAAAATCATCCCATACAACAGGATGCAGGAAAGATCAACATCACAGAGGTTGTAGTGACCGAAACAGACCACAAATATGGAGAGGTGTTGTTTTTGCAGAGATTTGACAAGTTGTATAAGAGTGTGTGCAGCGTAACCCCTTTGAAGCTCTGTGAGCCACTCCCAGGCACCTAAAGTGTGGAACACACAGGAAAGCAGCAGAAAGGAAGCGCGGGGTGCACTCGTAACAAGTCAGCAGTGATTTGCCAGCACTTCTGTTCCAATTAGAAAGGGCCGTATAGTTTAGCCCCTGCAGCCTCCACCTGATGCTGCTGTGATTATTGGGCCACAATTCTCCTGAGGACTCATTTAGAAACTTTTATGTTTCACATGTGTGCGATTTATGAGATTGATATTTTGATCAGTAATTATTTATAGACATTCTCTGAGTGGTTATCAGCAGATGGCACAAGGAGAGTACAGCTGTCCTGTTAGCATCAGGATCGGGTCGGATCACAGTTTGTTTACAGAGATCAGTGTTTGGGTTTGTTCATTGATTAGTGTGTGTGTGTGCGTGAGTGTATGTGTCTTAAGCCTTTCTATGTGTGTGTGGCAGTGGGCGTGGATCTGGTCGTGGCCGCGCCTCTCTAATGATGTGTAATGAGTCCCAGTCAGAGGGGAGTATCTTGTATCACTGCTCTTTACAAATATAATTACTCACTGGGCTCTCCAGAGCATGTCAATTTCCGCGTCCATTGGGGGAGGGGACTTAATTACAACTTTCCAAATGCATTAAAAATTAACAAAGGCTTCTGCCGTGCCAAAACCCAAGGTGAGGCCTTTCATGTCAGTCAGGGCTTTTGAGAGGACGCTGTGTACTTGTCCATGCTCATCTGAGTTTTCACGTTTATAGTGTGACCTCTGATGTCTATCGGATATATCTCTAGAATCACGGCCATAAACGCACAGCCTGTCACCTTACTTCACCCAACTTATTCAGTCCTTCAAAAGAGCAGGTCAGATACTATCAAAATAACCTCTGCCATGTATGGGCTGTGGGCCCAGAGCATCGTGAAAAACAGAGTCCTCCACAGAAGGAGGACACAGAAATATCACTCCTATGAGAGATCTGCTGTCTCGCTCTATTCTTGGATATTTTCATAAAACCCAAACTTTCATCACTTTTTCAGCAAAGTGTACAATTATAAACACATTTTTCATTCAGAAACCTGCACTCTACCACCATTCTGATCACTCTCTTCTTTTCACATTTGCATTTGCTATATATATATATACTGTATGTATTAGATTTTTATTAACATTACGTTTTTTTATGCTTGCCTTTGCATCAATTTTTGACAATTGTATTTGTAATTTCACTGACAACAACCATAAAATATCTCTGATTCTGATTCAGTCTTTTATTAATTTGTTTTTAATAATTCTATCTCACGAAGGCCATGGCCAAAACATTTTAATTAAAGTGTTTCTGAAATCTGCTACTTGAGTGTTCAATGCTCTTTCTTCTTTAATACGATTCTTCTTCAACAACAAAGCCATATTTGTATGTATCGATGTAACTCTACATAGGTTATGTACTAGATATATTAAATATTAATCTACATGAGTCACTATGAGTAAAGCCTGCACATAATCCAGTGCTACTACATGAGCGTAAATTGTCCTGTCATGCAAAAAAAAAACCAGATCTTGCTTTCCTTGGTTATCGAGGCATAACATGAAGTTTAGCCTGAAAAAACACTGAGCGACTATCACTAAAAAAGACTTGAACAAGTAATGAACAGTTTTTTATTATTCTCTATTGCTTGAGCTGTGTGTTTAAAGCTAAATAAAATGTGCGCTGTCTGTGACTACTGCAACCCAAGCAAAGATCCACGTTACAGTAACTATTCAGAGTAGTCGTTACTGGTCAAAGTAGAGCTGTTAGCGACCAACACTTGAGCTTGATGTCAAAGTGGTACAATGACATCAAACTAAAACACGACTGAAATGGATACAATTAGCATAGATGGGCCTGAAAGCAACTCCAGGTATGTTTCTGACGAGGGACTAATGTTGTAACCAGGGGAAAAACTCATGAAAGCTCAAGTTTATTTTGCATGATATGTCTCCTTTAACGACATGCTGGCTTTATTACACGGCGAGTGAGGGACTGGAGTCATGTTTTCTCACTCCAGTCTGCGGCGTGTTGATGCTGCTCTTTTACAAATCACTGCCAACATATTAACTCCAGCTCCAGACGTCTGGCTGCAGCTCACAGGGCGGATGCAGGGACCATTGTTCCAACTCTGCTTTCAGAAGATTTCTCCGCTCGCTTTGAAATGGCTGAGAACTGTAGATTAACATAATGTGGATAATGCTTGAGACTGTCAACCAAAATAATAATTATCAAAACTATTTAGGCACAATTTGCTCAAGTGGAATGTTTTTAAAGTTATTGTTGATCTTTGTATAACCAGGAAAGCCCCTCTGAGATTTACAGAATCTCTTTTGCAAAGGGGGGGCGAGGGGGGGTGTAACAGGGGGTTTCTGTACCTGTTTATAGTGATGGGGTAATGGGAACGATAAAAAAAAAAAATACAAAACATAAATGAATTAATGAAAACTATTCTAAATAACATATAATAATAAAAGTATAGACCTCAAGATTAACTAGAAATTCTCTTCTCTTTTACAGATTTTAGTTTACCTTTAAGGAGCTATACCCGTTTCTGCAAGGTTTGAATGTTTAGCACCGCCCCCCAACTCACTCACAGGCTTCTCTTTTCCCCTACGCTCTCATCCCACGGAGCCATCTAGTTTTATTTGCGATCTATAAGCAAACATTAGCATGAGCGCAACTTCTTGTAAGCTGTACAACAATCACTGATGAAATGGTACAAAAGCAACGCACTGCTAACAAAATATATAACTGAAAGATTACTGCTAGTTTTGCGCCCGAATGTGGTCCGAGCATAGATAGTCCGAGGTAGAGCCCTGCACGGGCCTATTATCTGGGCCCGAGCCCGGCCCTGGCCCGAGGGGGTGGCGCCCCAGCCCGGCCCGGCCCGATATGGTTTCTGAATTTTCAGGCCCGAAACCCGCATCAAGCCCGCCTTTTTTTTTTTTTTTGTAACCTCCCATAACAATGTTTTAGCGTAGTATATAGTGCCGCGCACTGATATGAACGCAGACTTAGCTAGAGGGCGGAGTTATACATGGTAGTGATGTGTTGTAATGAGTTCTGTGTGTGCGGAGTGGTGCAGAGTGAACGGCCGCATCTGTATGATGCCCCCGATGCTGCAACACATCTGCACATTACATAAGTAATGCTATGTGCCGTCAATGACAACACTACACAGAACAAGAAACACTACAGCGTGATAGAACGCTATATTCAGTGGGTGCGCTCGTAAATCTATTCTGCCGCTCTGAAAATGAAGAGCCCGAGCCCGGCCCGTGTCCGAGGTCATTATGCGGTCATCGGCCCGAAGCCCGGCCCTCGGGCTGTCGGGCCGTCGGGGCCCTCGGGCCAAGGGCTCAAGTGCAAGGCTCTAGTCCGAGGCGGTCCCGCACCCGCAGGTCTCTCCCATAGACTGCATGTCACTCCAGAGGATACGATGTAAGCTAGCTATGTTCACCCGGGCTTGGATTCTTCTTTGATCATTGTTTCCTTTAAGTTCCCTCTTCTCTTCTTCACTGTTGTATCGTTTGGGCTGTTTTAGCATTTTTATTAACTCATAAAATAAAATAATCGGGTATAGCTTCTCTAAGCCCTGTGTGTTTTTTTTTTTCGTTCTGTGGTTATTTTCCTTTTTTCATGGCTTTTAAAAAAATCAAAGTCTGTTATTTTGGCAGACATCACTGTAAAAATTAGGTGATTCTATTTTGTTTGTATGCAAAAAATCTTAAAATATATTTAAAATTAAAATAAATCCATGAATAAAAAATATGCTTATATATTTATAAAACCTACACTATTTTGATATTATGAAAGATGAATAATGTATGCATCGGCTTTAATTTAACTTGATCCACAAATAAAAATGTAGTTTGTGTTTGTGAGTGAATCCCTAATGATTATAATTTTGTTTTAGGAGTTTTTTATACGGTTGTTGCAATGTTCGTTTCTCAGAGAAGGTTTTATAATGACCTGAAATGGTTCATTAGTCATACGATTAAATTACAAGAAGTGCTTTTAAAAGGTCAGAGCAATGACGCATTACTCAGATGATAAACTAATGACATTTGGTTAATATGTTGTCATGGTGGCATACTGTAAGTAACACAAGCTGTTTTAGTCTAATTCATCCTTTATTTGGAGGGTTCAAAATCCTTGATAATGTTTTCCTTATTAATTCATTGACCTTTATTATTCTTACTTAGAAAATAATTAGTAGTATAGCACATACAGGAGACGTTAGAAAACTAGAATTGCTGGGAATATTTTGATAATTGAGTTATAAAAATTAAAAAAAATCAACGCAATAGGTGAAAAATCATCTCTTACCCACCCATATTGAATTACTTTAATTTCCAATTTGACTGTTTTATACTTTCACTAAAAGGAAAACAAAATCATCAACACACACAATCACTGGTACGACATTTTCCTCTTTTACCTTTGTTTATCACAAGGATTACATTCTAAAAAATATCCAGCAATAAGTTAAATCCGTGCAGTAGAAGCTTTATGTTTTAAGGCTGGAAAACCCACACATACTTTACACACTTTTCTAACCACCTGAACTCACCGCTGCAAAAGAGTGATGGCGGAGATATCCAACCTGTTTGTTGTCAGTCTGAGCGCTGCTGCAGCTGTAAAAAGCAGTGCATACACTGTAAAATACAGGCGCAAAGGACACTGCACTGAGAGGCAGGACCAGGACTGAGGGCTTTTCTTCTAACTTTATATAAATGTAGCTGTCATAGTGTACTGGTGGTTATATGATGTTTATGATATTGGACGCATGAGAAGCTCACTGTAAAAAAGCATGCACAATTGCACACACAAAAACCTCAGAAACAGTGAGTCCACAAAAGGTGAGTCATGTTATTGTGAGGGACCACTGTACTGAAAAACATTTATTTCAAACATGCACAAGATGTACAGACAATTATTCACAGAAAAATATGATCATAAGAGAAAACAAGAAATCCTCTGCTTGGTTTGAAAAGGGATTGATTGAAAAAAAAAAAGCGGTAACACTTTACATTACGGGCCGGTAAGTCCATGGTACTTACAGTGGTACTTCTAGGTACTTACAGTGGTACTTCTAGGTACTTACAGTGGTACTTACGGTGGTACTTACGGTGGTACTTACGGTGGTACTTACGGTGGTACTTACGGTGGTACTTACGGTGGTACTTACAGGGGTACTTACGGTGGTACTTACGGTGGTACTTACGGTGGTACTTACAGTGGTACTTACAGTGGTACTTACAGTGGTACTTCTAGGTACTTCTAGGTACTTACAGTGGTACTTACGGTGGTACTTACGGTGGTACTTACGGTGGTACTTACGGTGGTACTTACAGGGGTACTTACGGTGGTACTTACGGTGGTACTTACGGTGGTACTTACAGTGGTACTTACAGTGGTACTTACAGTGGTACTTACAGTGGTACTTCTAGGTACTTACAGTGGTACTTCTAGGTACTTACACTGGTACTTACGGTGGTACTTACGGTGTACTTACGGTGTACTTACGGTGGTATACGGTGGTACTTACGGTGGTGGTACTTACAGGGGTACTTACGGTGGTACTTACGGTGGTACTTACGGTGGTACTTACAGTGGTACTTACAGTGGTACTTACAGTGGTACTTACAGTGGTACTTCTAGGTACTTCTAGGTACTTACAGTGGTACTTCTAGTGGTACTTCTAGGTACTTATTGTGGTACTTACAGTGGTACTTCTAGGTACTTACAGTGGTACTTAGAGGTACTTATTGTGGTACTTACAGTGGTACTTCTAGGTACTTATTGTGATAATTCTAGATACAGCTGTAACTTAGTAATTCAAGGACACTACAGTATTATTCCTATGTAGTAAATGTGGTACTTCTACATACATACATACAGAGGTCATTTGTAGGATTGTTTGACTATAAAACATAAAACAACATTATGTAAAACAAACGTCTTTATTAATATGGAATAAGTAGCACAGAAAGGACAGTATAAATACATTTAATGCATATTTCAAAACAAGTTTCAAGGACAAGGGAAACACTGCAAGAACTAGGTACCCAACCCAAGTAACAAGAATTACACATTACCAGGTACTTACCAGCCAAGTACCAGGTACTTACCAGCAAGTACCAGGTACTTACCAGCAAGTACCAGGTACTTAACAGCAAGTACCAGGTACTTAACAGCAAGTACCAGGTACTTACCATAGGGACTGGCCCATAATAAGACAAAGGACTTTAACATAAGTACCAGTGATAACACCAGTAATTATACAGTAAGTACCAGGTACTTACCATAGGGACTGGCCCATAATAAAACAAAGGACTTTAACATAAGTACCAGTGATAACACCAGTAATTATATAGTAAGTACCAGGTACTTACCATAGGAACTGGCCCATAATAAGACAAAGGACTTACCCATAAGTACTAGTGATACCAGTAATTATATAGTATACCATGTACTTACCAGCAAGTACCAGGTACTTAACAGCAAGTACCAGGTACTTAACAGCAAGTACCAGGTACTTAACAGCAAGTACCAGGTACTTGCTGGTAAGTACATGGTATACTATATAATTACTGGTATCACTAGTACTTATGGGTAAGTCCTTTGTCTTATTATGGGCCAGTCCCTATGGTAAGTACCTGGTACTTGCTGTTAAGTACCTGGTACTTGCTGTTAAGTACCTGGTACTTGCTGGTAAGTACCTGGTACTTGCTGGTAAGTACCTGGTACTTGGCTGGTAAGTACCTGGTAATGTGTAATTCTTGTTACTTGGGTTGGGTACCTAGTTCTTGCAGTGTTTCCCTTGTCCTTGAAACTTGTTTTGAAATATGCATTAAATGTATTTATACTGTCCTTTCTGTGCTACTTATTCCATATTAATAAAGTCGTTTGTTTTACATAATGTTGTTTTATGTTTTATAGTCAAACAATCCTACAAATGACCTCTGTATGTATGTATGTAGAAGTACCACATTTACTACATAGGAATAATACTGTAGTGTCCTTGAATTACTAAGTTAGAGCTGTATCTAGAATTATCACAATAAGTACCTAGAAGTACCACTGTAAGTACCACAATAAGTACCTCTAAGTACCACTGTAAGTACCTAGAAGTACCACTAGAAGTACCACTGTAAGTACCTAGAAGTACCTAGAAGTACCACTGTAAGTACCACTGTAAGTACCACTGTAAGTACCACCGTAAGTACCACCGTAAGTACCACCGTAAGTACCCCTGTAAGTACCACCGTAAGTACCACCGTAAGTACCACCGTAAGTACCACCGTAAGTACCACCGTAAGTACCACTGTAAGTACCACTGTAAGTACCACCGTAAGTACCACCGTAAGTACCACCGTAAGTACCACCGTAAGTACCACCGTAAGTACCACCGTAAGTACCACTGTAAGTACCTAGAAGTACCACTGTAAGTACCTAGAAGTACCACTGTAAGTACCACTGTAAGTACCACTGTAAGTACCACTGTAAGTACCACCGTAAGTACCACCGTAAGTACCACCGTAAGTACCCCTGTAAGTACCACCGTAAGTACCACCGTAAGTACCACCGTAAGTACCACCGTAAGTACCACCGTAAGTACCACTGTAAGTACCACCGTAAGTACCACCGTAAGTACCACCGTAAGTACCACCGTAAGTACCACCGTAAGTACCACCGTAAGTACCACTGTAAGTACCTAGAAGTACCACTGTAAGTACCTAGAAGTACCACTGTAAGTACCACTGTAAGTACCACTGTAAGTACCACCGTAAGTACCACCGTAAGTACCACCGTAAGTACCATCGTAAGTACCCCTGTAAGTACCACCGTAAGTACCACCGTAAGTACCACCGTAAGTACCACCGTAAGTACCACCGTAAGTACCACCGTAAGTACCACCGTAAGTACCACCGTAAGTACCACTGTAAGTACCTAGAAGTACCACTGTAAGTACCACCGTAAGTACCACCGTAAGTACCACCGTAAGTACCACCGTAAGTACCACTGTAAGTACCTAGAAGTACCACTGTAAGTACCTAGAAGTACCACTGTAAGTACCATGGACTTACCGGCCCGTAATGTAAAGTGTTACCAAAAAAGCTTATTTAAGACATTCTACAATACAATACCAGAAAAGAAAAAAATAATCAAAACCTAACAATACCCTTCAAAAAGTACAGGTAAAAAACTATGACTACTGAATGCTTTCTTTTATCCTAAACTTTTATTTTCAGCTCCTTTGCGATCTAACTAAATAGTGATTGACGTTTTGCAATCTTTCCATTTTGAGCTGTGGTCTATAGTTCTGCGTCATGGTTTGTCGGTTTTAACAATAGTGTTCCATTCTGTGTAGTTACAAACAGGCTTTTGACATCTATCTAGCACAGATCCTTTCTATTCACTTGCCGTCTGAAAAAAAGATAGAAGTTGTTAAACATCGACACAACAACATATTTCTATTTACTTTTGTGACTTGCCGGTGTAGTGTTAATGAGAATTTGCCCTTCGCTTTTCATCTCACAACAAACGCACGCGGGAACAAAGCTCATTATTTTTCATAAGCATGACATTTCCGGAAAGTGTGACATTAAAAAAAAAAAAAAAACAAAAAAACAACAACACAAAATCAATTTCTTTTCAGTACAGTATAGCGCTGTTCGGTATGCAAAACAAGCCCGGGTGATTGTAGCGCACAAAATAGCGTTAATGCGTTTCACAAAGACATCAAAGGGCCAACCGCTTTCATGTGGTCAAGGGGCGCCGGCGTCTCATGCTGCAGACGGAACACTCAGATGGCGAAGAGGAAGAGCACAGATGGAACAGCGCTTCACCGGAGACAAATGTCAAGTCGGTGTCACTGTTTGTGTTGAGAAGCTTTACTGCTGCATATTTGACCTTTGGCGGTCAGCTGTGTGTTTGAATATCGGGGCAGTCAAAAGCTTCCATTGGCTTTCAAGGTTGGAACTTAGTATTTGTTTAGCACTGGCCCCTGTATTCTCAAAATGTCAAACTTGTCAGTCATAGAATATCTTCTTTCGCTGTTTTGTTTTGTAATTGTTTAACGCTGGGACTCACAGAATTCTGAAGCTATACTAGAACTCCCAGAGCCGTCTTTATGTCTGCTCCGATTCAAACCAATGGCGTTCTGAGACATTCCCCCCAAGAAAGTATAGTTTTCCATCAGATTCATTAAACTAAAGTAATATATAAGGTCACTTTTAATAAGTGCTTCAACTTGTCAATTTAACTGCAACTGAAATACAGCAAAAAAGGCTAATGCTAACTTCTCACAGTAAACAGTGTGCTGCTATGGTAACAAGCACTTCATATCCTAAGGTAGTTTTTCAGTTAAAGGTAGAACTTCTCAAATTTTAAGAGTAAAATACACACAAAATAGTGACATAGACATAAACTACATAAAGATACAGAAAAAGTCACAAAGTTATGAAGACTGAGAATGCACATGAGATGAGTAATTACACTTCCAAAACTAAAAGCCGTCAAGTTGACTGCTTTGGGAGTTCTAATGTTAAGCTTGAAGGTGCTTTTCATCACATGCTTAAACGGAGTTCATCAAAAAATTGGATATCAGGGCCAACATTTTAAATATTGTTGGATTTCTTCAAAAAGTCCCCTGAAAATGAATGAATAAGATTGAATTTCTGAAAGTGTGATGATGAGCTCTTGTTTCTTCCATGACTGTCACACAAACTCCTCTGAGACCCCAAATCTGATTCCATCTGTTCTCGCACATGAAATAGCTCCATGTTTGCTTTGTAGTCCCCACTCACTACAATTCACTCTTTATATTTGTAAGTGGCCTTATTCTTTATTTTGGGCTTGCTTTTGAAGAAAATTCTGCCACAATACAATGTCTCTGTTTGATATCTAACCTCATTTCCCTCTTGTGACAATGTATGCACACCCACAATTATTCTTAAGAGTTGAATTGATTATTGTCTAATGTTCTCTGAGGACCACCAGCTCACATAGTGCCAAATGTTCAAAATTTAATCTGAATTACTGCTTTACATGCTAAAATGTTGTGTTTGTCATTCGATTTTTACTTGCAATAGTCAATGCATTTGGGAAACACAATATCAATAAATCAACTTCCCACTCATAAAACACACACGCACTCACGCACACACAAAGACACACACACCTTGTACGTGCCGTGTGAAGAGGGCATCACTCTCGTTCCTGCACATAGTTCTTCAGTATTGATGTTTTTTAATTAAAACCGATTTGTTTCTTCCTGGTGAGTTGTTCCAAATGTTAGCTCCACATTCTATTTTAAAAGTATAATTATATGATCTGTATAGTATGATACAATACATTTGTTTGTTGGCATTTAAATATATTTGTATCGACGACATTCCGAGATCCATTTTGCCTCCAGAAGTGGGGAAATTTCAGTGTTGCATCACCAGTAACAAAACAGTAGGAATGAGGCGCACACAGTAAAAGATAAATGAACAATAACTCTGTACTATATTAAAATCCAATCTCTAATAGTAGCATAATAAAAAAGCAGTTATAACATTTATAGCTTTAGCATAATACAGAAGCAAGTATAAAATCTCTAGCTTTAGCGTATTATTAAAGAAGCAGGTCTAAAATATTTATCCGTAGCATAATAAAGAATCAAGAAATAAGTATAAAATATCCGACTCTAGCATAATAAAGAAACACATCTCAGGTATTTCTTTCAAACAGTGCGTATGCTTTTGGGACATTAAGACCTGGAGTTAGACAAGAATGATGCTATTTTTCCTCCTTCCTCCATTGTTTGCAGCGGAGGCCGTTGCACGTTTGAATATACAGTATACCGCCCCTGGCTTTTCCCCACCGCACACAACAGTCCTTCGCTCTGACCTGTTGGATTTCTTAAACTCGTACAAGTTGCAGGATGACCTTGATTGCAGGCAAAGGTAAATTCCAAGGCGCCCTCAACCTTCACTTACGCATATGCATATTAATCCACTGTGTGCGGTTAGAAACCCTTCAAACTCGCTTCTAACTCCACCCTCAAGGCCAGTTCCCCTGCACACATACAAATCCGTTTCAACACAATGTCTTTTTTGCCTTGGCTATGACTCATTTAATGGAACACTGTGAAATATGAATCATTTGGTTCCTCAACAGATCACCGTACTATTCAGCATAGGTTGTTTTCCCTGCATTTTTGTCACATTAAAACTGTATTTTTGTCATGAAAACGTTAACAAATAATTCTGAAAACCTCTACACTTCTACAATTAACATTTAAATGTGTTGATGGATTGATGTTTGTGTTTATTGAGCAGAGCTAGCGTGGCTAGCTCCGACAGCTTCTCTCGCAGAGACAGAAGTGGGGACAGGTACCGTGTTGCTGAAAGTCGTTGACGAAGTGGCCAGACTACTTTGTGGAGTGATCTTTACTCACCTGACTTACATGGCAAATTGCGTTACCATGGAGGCAGCGGCCATTATTGGTTTGAGAGTCCGTTATCAAGAAACAATGACCTGTAGAACGATTTGAAATGACATTCAAATCAATGGAGCGTTCTACTGCTGCTGTGAAGAGCCGTGTAATAATCAATATTAATTTAAAGAACCTTTAAAAACAGCCGAGTCTTACAGTACTCTACAGAAAGTGAAAAACACACATCCATAATGTCAAAGTACTTTCAATTTATACTGTACAAAGACATAAAGACACATTTTCTTGGAACTTTGAGTTTGTTTTGAGTTAACAGATTACATGTAGGTGCATAGTGCTTATATGGCACATCATGTAATGGTGCAAGGACTTGTACAATTTTCAAGGTTTCAGATGAACATGTACATTGAAGATTCTGTATCAGTAAACAGCTATGAGTCATCCTCCTCAGGCTGAAACTAGTTTTTCAAAGTGCCATAGTTTCAAAGATGAGTCATGGAACATTTGATCTTACAAATGATGTTTTATTTGATGAAAGAGGCTTTGACCTGATGTTGGAGTTAATATTCCTCTCTCCTTTTCAAAGATCTGGTCTAACTAATATAGGAGTAGTCAATCAGGGACAAAAAGATATGGATCTTAGAAAAACACAAATCTCACTGAGGAGATTCATTATGAAGGCTCCTTCTGTTTGGCCTTTGACAGTAATTTTACTACTGCATAGAATAAACCATTGATTTACATGTTAGGTTTATCTATTGATAGTAAAACACATATTTGGGAAAAAGTAACAAGAACACAGCGTTCATTGGCTTTGTGATTGCACTGCGCAAATCAATAAGCAATCATTGGATGTAGCTTATACTCAACATCAACATTGCGTCAATAGTCATTGTTCTCAATCACCAAAGCAACACATTTAGCAGCACAGATCATCTCTTCTCTGCAGAATCTAGGGCTTTTGATTATTGAAATGGTCGTCAACAATTTTAGTAAATATTTTTGAACTTTACATACACTCTGAGAAAAGGTTTTACGACTCAATGTGTATGTTCAGGGGCAACGCTTTTTTTGGTCCAATGTATACAAATCCCATATTAATTGTAACTAATTGATTAATCGAGAGGATAACCAGCCACCTATAAAATTATCAAATTATTGTTAAATTGAAGTGTAGTTACTTTTCAAATTCTGAAGACAGAACGTTATAAAAATGCCAGCGCAGGTTAGACCCGCCCCCACAGTGTCTTGATTGGATGCGATTTTTTCCAATACTTGATATCAACCAATCTCCTCCAGCAAATATTTCTGATAATGATTATACCAAGGGGGGGACGACAAGGGTCATATGGTCAAATACATGTATCACCAAAGTTGCAGAAATCACCTTTGATAGGAATCCCATAATAGTAAGTAAGTTAGTAAGTTTTTATTTATATACCGCCTTTTCACTGCAGATCTGAGTCTCAAAGCGGTTTACAATTGTTAATTTTTGGGCATTTGTCTCTCACTCCACACAGAGATGGGAGCCGGGTCGCCAGTACAGGAGGCGCATGCCAGAACTATTGGACATGTTTTTAGTGGTAGGGGAAACCGGAGTACCCGGAGGAAACCTACGCAGACACGGGGAGAACATGCAAACTCCACTCAGAAAGGCCCTGGTCCGACCGGGATTCGAACCCAGGACCTTCTTGCTGAGAGGCGAGAGTGCTATCCACTCAGCCACCGTGCCGCCCGGTCTGCATATAATGTCTTCTTTTTGTAAAGTCTCATTGCAGGTTCATTTTGAAACAATGCATAAGGACTCTCACTTATGACGATGACCCCCCAACGGCAAAATGATTGATGATTCTAGTCGATTCCCCCCCAAGAACAAGTTATGGCAGATAAGAGTTGAAATTTGTCCTGCTGTGTCCTGAGACCCGTGTGATGTGGGTGAGAGCAGATATATATTGGCCAGGCAGGTACTTGTACTTGCTTCTGGTCTTGTAGAGGCATTAATCATCGTAGCAGCACCAAGGTCAGCTCTCCTCTCATGTGTGGGAGGCAGCGCGCACCAATGCCCCGCTACCGAGGGCCAGCCGCGGCAATCTGGCGTCAAGAGGCAGGACACGCGTGTGACAAGGTGAACGGGGCAGGAAAGGAGGGTGGGGTAGCGGGTCGGATTAGTGTTGACCTCCGCGGGGCGTGGCCGGTGAAGAGTGCCACTCAAAGGTGTTAGTGGAGGCGATTGCAAAGCTAAGGTAGGTGGACGTTTTGGGATAATGGATTAAAGTGGGCAAGACAGCTGAGGGGGCAGAATAACAGAGTGAGATTTGCGGTGGCGATGGGTGGGAGTGAAGCAATCAGTGAGAGAGAATGGGGGAGGGGGGGATTGAGGAGGGGGTCTGGACACTGTGTTTCTAATCACATCTTCTTGGTTGTATTCAGATTGGAAAGACTAACATGTGTTTGGTTGAGTTCAAAATGTACTAACCCCTCATATAAAAAGGTTTGCCCCGATCCTACTTAGCATCTCTGCATATTAGCTCACTGCAGTGTAAGGCAAGGCAAGGCAAGGCAAGGCAAGTTTATTTGTATAGCACAATTCATACACAAGGCAATTCAAAGTGCTGAACAAAACAAGAAAGCATTAAAATCATAAATAATCACAGTACATTAAAAAAAAGATAAAAATATAAAATCCCTCAGTTGTATGCACAGCTAAACATACGTGTAAGGCAAGTATAAGGTGTACTTTGTTGTCCCTTTGTTGTCCCTTTGTTGCAGGGGTCTCCAACCTATAGCTCAGGAGTTACCAGTAGCTCCCCAGCCCCTTTCAGGTAGCTCGCCAAATGATTTAGAATTTAACACATGATCCTGAATGAATACATTTTGAGTCATTATCACATATCTATTGTATGTAAAAATATAAGGTTATACAGTATTATAGCATATGCGTTCTTCATGTGTATTCTCTTAATTATTGCATGAATTTGTATAACAACTGCGAAAAAGGAGTTGTTCTCTGCCTGTTCTCTTGTATAAAAGTAGCTCTTTGATTGAAAAATCTTGGAGCCCCCCGCTGTAAGGAAATGTGTCTTTTGCAATTGACCCATCCTTCAGGAGCATTGGTTGCCACAGTGCAGCGTTCCGGGGAACCATCTCCACATGTGGATAATCGGCTTGATCACGCTTGGAGCTGGTACATTTTTGGGTGGTGGTAGAAAAACCCACCTACAGTAAGACACTGATAGTAACATGAACTCCACAGAGAAAGGCCTGGGCTGACACAGGAATGAGCCCGTGGTCTTGGTGGTCATAAACTTGAGGTCAATTAAAATGCATGTGTGTGTGAATATGAGGAATATTTCTGTTTTGCTTTATAAGTCTGTAAAATATGGGCTTTTATTTTTATTTTTGTTGCATCGACTAAAATGTAATACTGTATAAATCATGTAGAATTTTCTTTTAGAAGCGTGGAAAGGCTGTTTCATATATAAATAATCCATCAAAGCAGGCTCTCAAACCTACACCCAGATATATACAGTATATAGCCATAGCATAACAATAACTGAACTATTCAAGGTCTACAACACATCGATTATAATGAGGGGCCTTTTTTAGAGGAAAACCAACACGTATGTATCCACAGAAAGGCCATGTAAGCAAATAGGTGGCAATATGTCTCAGTCAGATTACAGCAAATGCGTGTCCTTGGAGAGATAATGTTATGGTGTGTGAGGAGTGTGGCAAAGAGAAGCAAAGGTTAAACTGTATCTTGAAGGGCAGGAAACCTTACAGATATGGTGCAGAAGTGGAATGGTAAAAAGTGGCAAACCTCCCAAATTGACTTATCCTGGAGGGAGCAGACGATGACCCCCGTGGGACCAGGAAAAACTCTGCTAACAGCCCTCTGACCTGTTATGTCTGCTTGCACTGAAACGAATGGACCAACAGTGAAGATGCCGTTTACGGAGGATCCTGCAGCTCCTCCGCGGACGATAGCATCATTAAATGTCTGTAGTTTTTTACAAGACATGTGTTTACAGTCTGGAGAGGGTGTTTATCGGTGTTTTGATTGCCACTCAAAAATCAATAAGTAATCAATGAATGGAGTTTATGATTAACACTTGCAGATTAACATTGCGTCAATACCCAATCAATGGTTCACTCCGTAACGATCTCACTCTATTATTGACCGTATAAATGTTGACACTCTGTCTTTTTAGCGTCAATCCTTTGTTTCAAAATCAAAATAAACAAAATAGACAGGTTTAAGGCTTGGAATATGTAACTTTGAAAACACAAACAAATTACCCATGCAGTCCCTGTTCCTGTAACTAGTCCCTATACCTCTCAAAACTGTTTGGTTTCCGCTAGTTTCCACATGTTTGTATTGTTTGACTCTTTGAATCTTTAGATTAGTTTAAAAAATGTTTAAAGTGCCAGCTCTCACTCTCAGTATGTAAAAGAATGCATTATTTTCTAATGAGATGGAAGAACAACATCACAAGAACATAATGGTTTCATGAAAAAAAAAAAAAGAATAAGTTAAAAGGTAAACCTGCTTTAAAGAAGTAACATTATCCTTTTTTTGTAGGCGTATAAAAGGTATAATGAGACTACTGTCATGGGATGTTTTAGAATATGAAACACTTAATATCTCAAGAAACAATGTATGGTGAAACGAAGAAGGGTAAACAATGCTTTCTGGAGGAAACATCAAAAAAGTGGATTTTACACACTATGTTTCTTGAACTTAGCTTGGCCCACAATAATGTTTTAGCTATAAAAATATCAGTTGACAAATGAATGTGCATTATTGATTTGGAATTTTATATGCGCCCTCATTATGTTACATTTCATAAATGCAGCTCGAGGCGCTCCTTTTATTTAAGACAATTTTTTTCTCTAAAATACATAAATGTTTAAAATCAGTTGTAATATCAGTTCCCATATGGACTTGTGTGCTGAGTATTCTTTTTAGGGATGTAAAAAACTATGAATTTTCATGACCGACCACCGAGCCTCATTAACCGGTTGAAACCGGTTAACCGCGTAGTTTAAAATAGTCCACGTTCTTTGAAATAACAGCCATTTCGAGCCGCGTACTTTTCATAAGTGCAGCTCTGCTTTCTACTGGATCAGAGTTGAGACAGCGGCGCCCAAACCCGCAACAGCTCCGGCACTTTTGCGCACAGAGAACTGCTTTTTTAATCTTCCCATTCTGCTGTGCTGCGGGTTAATACCAAAACTTTCTAGCAGCAAACGACGACTCGTTCACATGGTCAGAGCAGCGAGTGACCAGCCGCGTCTCACAGGTCTTCACAAAAGTTTGAATACAAGTGATGTGTGTGGAGCTGATCCCGAGGACCATAAACACAAACATGTTCCATGTGGTTTGACTGGAGCCGCGTATTTGCGCGAATCCTTTGGGCTCCGTGACACAGAGGAGCGCGACAGACCGGTATGTGTGTGTGTATGTGTGTGTGTATGTGTGTGTGTATGTATGTGTGTGTGTGTAAATGTAAGCTCCAATGTAGTTCTGACCCGCGCCAGTGTGCAACTTTGACGGTAACAGAGGGGAGAGATGATGCGTGTGGATGTTACGTATGGAGAGGGGGAAAGTGTGTGTGTGTGTGTATGTGCGCGTGCGCATGTGTGCGCGTGTAAGTGTGCGCGTGTGTGCATATGTGGCTCGTGCGGCGTGAGAGTCGTCCCGGAGTTTAGAATACATGGGCGCACACAGCTAGATACGGACCCGCTCGTCACACAGTGCAAATAGGGCTTAAAATAGCGTTATGAAGAGACCTCCCCTCTCCCCTTTTTCTCTTTTTTAACCGACAGCTTTGACCGGTTAACGCTGTGACGGTCAACCACCGGTTAAACGGTCGCCGATTTACATCCCTAATTCTTTTATTTAACTATGTGCATATACACTCAACAACAAATTGGATTGTAAAACACATTGCGGCAGACAGTTCCCCACAAGACCTACTCCATCTGCTCCCACTGACATCTCACTTAACCCCACTTTACCTGGAGCCCCCACTGAGAGACCGAGGCTGTGACGTCGCAGACAGAGCAGCCATCCACCTATGGACCCACCACCTGCCTCCGCCCGACCCATAAATTGATTCATAAAGGGGATGAGAATGAATGAATGAATAAATTCTATTTGATTCATCTAGATATTTCCCATAATTACCAAGTCACTTCAGTTGGTGCTAGAGCAACTGATGGTCAAAGCATAACCATATATCGGTTGAATACTGTACAATAGTAACTTTTTTTTTTTTTTTTTGACTTTTTCCTTGCTGATGCAGGAGGGTCTGTTTGACAGTTAGTGTCTAACAAGAAGGACTGTGGTGATGATCCTGGACACTTTAACACACTTAAAGGAATAGTTCACCGTTTTTACATACTGACATATGTTCTTACCTTACCTTAGACTAGTTAATATGTACCTGTCTGGTCTTAGTCCGTGCGCTCTGTCATGCAAACGGAGCAAAAACGGGAGCACAAACGCAGCCTCCTCTGTATACTGTATAGTACCCAAAAGGTAGCTCCCGCTAGAAGCTACCAAACTCTTCCAAGTGTTCCCTATTAAATGTATATAGTTACGTGACGTGTTACACTGCAAAGTATAGCAACACAGAAATGTAACTGTCGATTTTCTCAGCGGATAAAACGGGTACTATATTGTGAGGCGTAGTAATCTGAGGAGCGCTACGTCCGCGCACTAACTTCTCTCCGGAGACTTCTCTCTCGCTCACTTCCGTCAATAGAAGCAGCGTGACTTGTAGTACACACAGTAGTAGCAGAGACTTATGTGAGCGAGAGAGAAGTCTCCGGAGAGAAGTTAGTGCGCGGACGTAGCGCCCCTCAGATTACTACGCCTCACAATATAGTACCCGTTTTATCCGCTGAGAAAATCGACTGTTACATTTCTGTGTTACTATACTTTGCAGTGTAACACGTCACGTAACTATATACATTTAATAGGGAACACTTGGAAGAGTTTGGTAGCTTCTAGCGGGAGCTACCTTTTGGTCCTACACAGTATACAGAGGAGGCTGCGTTTGTGCTCCCGTTTTTGCTCCGTTTGCATGACAGAGCGCACGGACTAAGACCAGACAGGTACGTATTAACTAGTCTAAGGTAAGGTAAGAACATATGTCAGTATGTAAAAACGGTGAACTATTCCTTTAATCATTCTACAACATGTATGGACATTTA